TTTTTTTTTTTCTTTTGTAAAGTAGAAACAGAATAATTGCATTGTTTCTTACTTTCCAGCGTAGAAGCATAACAGAAGAAAATGAAGATGCATTTTCCTAGCCATATTTTTAATATATTTGAGGGGTAAGAATACTTTTGCACCTTTCTACATGAAGTATCTTCTCCTGCAGGACTTTAAAAAAAAATTTTAGGAGGACCCCTTTTAACTTACCTTGGCAAGAAGTAGTCATTTAAGAGGTTGTTCCTCTAATGGTTTGGAATAGGAGGAAAACACTGTTTTACCTTCAGCCTTTCTCTTTTCACAATCCACTGACTTGAGAAGCAGCAAGGCAGGCAAGGCTGTGGGAGGATGTTTTCCCATTTCAGCATTTTGTGCATATGAGATCAATAGCCAGAGGCTGCCTCCTCTGGCGTGAAGGAGGACCTGCCTGTCAGAAGCAGCCTGAGCTCTCTCACCCCTCCTCCCTCCCCACAGCTGGGCGTTCTTTGCTACCGCTTGTCACACGAACCAGCCACTCACTCACCGCCTGTGATCTGTGCAGGGCCAAAGCACAGCGCCAACTGGAACCACAAGACCACCAGGGAGAGTTTAGACTGGGAACGCTGAAAGAGCGGCGGCGGCGGCGGCGGCGGCTGCTCTAGGAACGGATCCCCGCTGTTCGGGTTCATTCCATGATACATCTTTCATCCGCAAAGGGCATCCGGATTGAAATGGTCTGCAAACAGAGCAGGCAATCTGCTTTAGCGGGGGGGGGGCATTTTCCTCCGCACACTCCCGCTCGTCCGACCTAGACAGGGGCAACACTTTCCTGGCTTCTTGCACGCAAAGGAAGCTGAAGCCGCCATCCAGCGCAGTTACCCTTCATCCCTTCTGCGCTCCCTGTTGGCAGGATGGGAGCGCTGCGGTACAAAAAATTGTTCTAAACAATTCTTCCCCCGCTTTTCGGGTCTCCGGATGTGTGACGGATCCACCTCGGCAAACGCAATCCTTTCCCAGCGCAGAAAAGCCCTGCGCTAATGGGCACGCCGTCCTGTCCACGTCCCTGGCTAGCGCTCTGCTAGACGACAACACGACACAGTTTTTCTCCACTGAACCCCAACCCCGCCCCCGCACCTCCAGTTGCTCAGAAGATAAGCTTGGTCATTTGCAAAAGAGCATGTCTGAGTACCTCCTCCTGAAGAAATATTCGCTTTCGGTCGCAAAAAATGGGGTGGGGGAGGGACACTATAAAGTTGTTTCCCCTCACGTCGCACCTTCTCCCACAACCCTCCCTTCGCGACAAGCCCCTGGATTCTTTTTCGCCTGACCTCCCCACCCCCGTCAGCTGTACAGAGTCCTTACCTGAGGGCTGCCCGCCTGCATGGAGCCTCCTTCGTTTTCCCAGCGGGGCACGCCGCGACTCTTGGCTGCTG